ATCCTGACTTCTGCATTTCTCATCCGGACACAAGGATTGGAATCCTTACAACATTCTCAGCCATCCTATTGCTCTCTTCACAACATAAGCTAGACTAGCAGCTCTTTGTTCAAAAGAAAGGCTTCCACTGACAAAAGATTTACACGCATTAAGCTGTAGTCAGATTGATTGTGAGTAGAGTTGTATGATTGGTCAACATACCATTGATTCTGTGCCTTTTCATCTCATTTCTCAGCAATCTATGCTAGGGAAAACTTTTTTCAGTCACCGAATTGTAAATGTATAGGTGATTAACCTGCAATGTGTTGACATTAACACCATGACTAAGTGTGTGAGACTGTTTTAGATAATAACGGTTCATATCAAGGAGCATGATCCAGAGTTTAGTAAAATAAGTGCCTATAAAATGACTACAAATTTACACATACATCTGAATAGGTGTTAGTTCAGTCTAACAGTAGAATTCAAGACTCAGAATACCTTGTATGGTCCTCCAGAGACACATTTTTATTTTCAGAGCTTCTACATCAAGCTTTGATCATTTTGAGGTAGTTCTTCTAAAGCTTTAATAAGCTTTCAGTTCTAGGTCAAGTTTCGAAGGAGAATACCTTAGAAACATTAAGGGCTGGTTATACTCCCACAGCAGTGTGTCGCAGTGAGCTTGTTGCAGGAATGACGCAGACATTTTTGATTTATGCTCAATTTTGAAGCGTGTTCTTCGCTATGTTATTTCACGCCACAACGCAAGAGGGACAATCTGGATAAAGAAAATAGGTGGTTTGAGTGGGGTGCGAAGGACGCCATCTATGTTAAGAGAGAAAAAACAACTTTAAACAGAGGTGGTGGACTCAGATTCCAGCTTCAAAAAACTTACAATTCAGTTATAGAGATGATCCCTTCCAGATATCACCACACCCCCCAACCCATCACAGAGGAACAAAGTACCTCCTCTCTTCAGCCGGTGAACAATACCTCCTTTAACGACCGACCTTCAGAATCATAGACAGGTTTCAGATATTACAGGCAAACAATGGAACCAAATGACCCGCTCATCGGTTTCATTTAGCCTGGTTCCAAACAATATAAGGCTTTGTCTATATGAGACTTAAACTCACCACCGATCCAGACATTTTAATTGAGAAAGCTTCCTGGAGGGGAAGCGAAACGTCTTCAAACCTTGGAAACCAAGTCCAGTGGATTGTTTTTTGTTTTTGTTTTACTTTTATGGAAAGAGGGACACTCAGGAACTAGCTGTGGTTCTAGATACGGCTGAGGCAACGAGGAAGTGGGGGGCAAGTTTGTCCGACAACAGAGGGACATGAGGGTGAAAAAGATCGGGGATCCAAGTGGAAAAAAGGGTCCCGGCGGTCTTGCACACCTCGCTCTTCTAGTTGATCCAACTTTACGAGTCGTTTTCTGCAATGGCGGTCAGAGTGTCTGCAGAGGGGGCGGGGACGTCTCTGCATTCAATGTGACACGCAGACGACCTAGGCCCCGTCCACACGAAGTCAAAACGAACACGAAACGCTAATATTTTCCAGAACGTTTGTCGTAAAGACGGAGANATCTCAGTTACTGAGCTCGGACCGGTCTCGGCTCAGTTTTTTAAGGGTAGTGTAAACGGGGTATAAGACTCAAACTCAAGACCGATCCAGACATTTGAACTGAGAAAGCTTCCTGGATGGGAAGTGAAACGTCTTCAAACCTTAGAAACCAAGTCCAGTGGATTGTTTTTATTTTTTACTTTTATGGAAAGAGGGACACTCAGGAACTAGATGTGGGTCTAGATGCGGCGGAAGCGGTGAGGAAGTCGGGGGCAAGTTTGTCCGACAACAGAGGGACATGAGGGCAAAAAAGGGCGGGGATCCAAGTGGAAAAAAGGGTCCCAGCGTTCTTGCACACCTCGCTCTTCTAGTTGGTCCAACTTTATGAGTCGTTTTCTGCAATGGCGGTCATACAAACAAAACAAGCCGGGAAGGTAACAAACAGAAAATACGCATGTGTAGAGTGGATGTAGATTTGACCAATCATTTGCTTGTCTGCCTGTCTGTGTTCACCTACAATTTGGGAGAGGTGCTGCAGAGTGTCTGCAGAGGGTGCGGGGACGTCTCTGCATTCAATGTGACACGCAGACGACCTAGTTTCGAAGAATAAATCTGCATTTAGGGCCATTGAACAAACTTCTCATAGGTCTTTGAGTCCAGATGTATATGGTAGTGGAGAGTTTCACTAGACAATAGTGGAGAAGTTCTTTTTAACTTTAAAAAAGTAAAAAGTGCTAGCATGTTGTAAAGATGGATTATTTTAGATTAGTCTAGCAAATATCCAGAGGATCCGTGAAGGAACTGCTGTTCTGTCTCATATTCTGTCTCATGGCAGTCAGGTCAAATGCAGTAGGACTCAGCAGTCGTTTGTTGGATCTGTTTCATCTGAAATCTCATTCAGTTCTACGAGTGGAGAATCACTCTGTGGCTGTGGGGCTCTGGGTCCACGTTGACGCAGCCCACCTGATAGCACGTCCTTATCACCCGGGATCATGGTTCTCCCCAAAGACTGGAAGCACAAAACAACCTATACATGAAAATATTCCTGCCTGACAAATTGTGACAAGGTCTAACTGAGGGAAATGCAGCACAAAAGAAAACTAAAGAACTTAAAAGTCTTAAATATTGCACCTGATTCTCTGCCAAGGCCTCTTTAGCCATGTAGTGCTCTCTTTTAATCTTCATTTCAACCTCTTCAGGGATGTCTGGAACAACCATGTCGATCAGTCGGCCAATAAAGAAGACTAAATGCTGAGGTACAAAGAAGGCAGATGATACATCAGACACCAGCCCACAATGTCCGCTTCTTTCACACACCTGCAATGGATTTCTCTCACAACTAGAAGCTTCCCCCTATAATGGTTTATGATATAATCTGTGAAAGACACTGACCTCAAAGATAATGACAAAGCTCAGCCGAATTGCGAGAAGGTGAAAGTACTCCGGAAGGTGTTCTCCTTTTTCATCCCTGAAACCCCGATACCTGAAGAACACAGATAAACAGATGTTAAGGTCCACACCTGCAGCCATTGGGAGGATGGCGATATTGGATGGATGGATGGATGGATGGATGGATGGATGGATGGATGGATGGATGGATGGATGGATGAGCAGGCGGATGGGTGAGTGGGAGGGTGGATGGATGGATGGATGGGGCACATGTCATTACCTGCAGGAGGTGTTGTGGTACTGATGGGAGTAGTTCTGTGGAGAAGTTGCCAGAGTAAAATTAACATAGCCCCTGAGTGTGCTGTCTCTGGTGTAGCGGTAGTACAGCCGGGGCACAAAGGATGAAGTGAAGGCAATAAGAAAAGCCTGGAAATAAGTTTTGGAAACTTCAGGTCACTCTCACTTCCTTCTGGAAAGCTTCTCCTGATCTAGAGGAGGTCAAGCTGAAATTGGAGACTTACATTACTGAGGACAGCCATGTGTGTGATGAACTGCAGAATGGGAAACCAGATCCCAATATCCTGGGCTCGCTCTACCACAGGGCGGCGGTACTCAGTCACAAACTTCTGAGCGTCCAAACGGATCTCCACCCAGTTGTTTATGAGAGCAAATAGTGGAGCGAGAGGACACGCTGCCACAAATATGGTGATGAAACCAAACTGAAGCACTGAGGAGGGTAACAACAACTTAGATAATAGAAATCCTCATGGAGATTTCCTTAATTTTTAAGCAAAAATAGGCTTTTAGTTACCCATCTCCAGATATTCATTGAAAAGCCCCTCACAGACCAACAGCTGGTAATCGGCCTCCCAAGGAGAAAGTTCCTCTTCTGTGTGAACTTCATCTAATGCTTTGTCCTTCTTCTCTTTCAGTCGAGGATGCATTTTCTTCTTTTGCCACCATGACTTTACCTTACTGCCAAAACAAGGAAGAAATCCTGCTTCATTTGGAAAATACAAGCATAGCAGAAAATGGGCATATGAGCCGAACGGCAGTATGGAATAACAGGCCTTCTAAGCATCCTTGAGGAGATTGTTGGATAGTGCCCCTGCTGGGGATTTCATCATTCTACTGGGGAACTTCAATGCCCATGTGAGAAAAGACAGTGAAACGTGGAGGGTTATGATCTGAAGGAACGGACCCTGAGCACTTAACGCGAACGAGTTTCAATACTGGGCTTCTGTGCAAGTCATGGAATGTCCATAATGAACACAGTGTTCAAGCCTAAGGTTCGGTGCACTTGCCACCAGGACATCCTAGTCAGGAGGCCAATGATCAACTTTTTAGACCAATCTTCCGACCTTCGGCCACATGCCTTGGACATTCGGGGGGAAGAAAGGGGTGGAATGTTCACTTGGGGGTGAGTTGAATACACTGAAAGAGGAGGAGACAGACTTGACTTGGCAGACCCAAGCAAGTAGTGAGAGTCTGCTGGGAATGTCTGGTTGAGCCTTTGGTCAATGCCATATTTAGCTCTCACCTCCAAAAGAGAGTGGAACGGTACTCCTCCAGTGGTGCATAAAAAGGGAGACCAGAAGACGTGTTCCAACTATAGGGCGACCACACTTTTCAGCCTCCCTGGGAAGGCCTATGCCAGGGTGCTGGAGAGAAGAGTCCAGCTTATTGTCAAACCCTGGCTTCAGGAGGAGTTGTGTGGTTTTTCTCCTTGCTGTGGAACAATGGACCTGCTCTGCACTCTCTGCAGGGTATTCAAGGGTGCTTTGTCCAGTCAGTCCAAATATGGTTTGTGGACCTTGAAAAGGCATTCCACTGTGTCCGCTGTGGTGCCCTGTGGGGGGACACTGACAGGACTATCCTGTCACCAGTTCCATTCATACTCTTCATAAGCTCTTGATAAAATGAGAAAATTATTCTGACAAGCTATAATTTATGCAATACTGGCTGATTAGATCTTTGTCAGTTAACTCTGTCTACTATGAGGGAAATCTGATACCTTCTTACACTGTTTAAACCAAAGATAAAGGGTGATAATAATTCTGAAATTATGAGTTTCTCTCAGAAAAGTTTCAAGCTATTATCTTTTAAAATGACACTAAAAGTGTTCCCCAAAGTGCAGTTCTTGGGCTCCTAAGTTATGAATTATGCTGAGATGACTTCCTTTATCACTGTTCTGCAGATGCAACTCTGTTGTACCTATCACTCTAACGGAATGACTAATCACATCACATGTCTAAGGTTGACTCAAACATCTCTCATCAAACAATAAACTCACAATTTTTTTTTGTTATTTTACTGGAACAGTTTCTAAAGTCTTTAAACTATATTTAACTATCGCACCACATTTTCATACTCTTATCTTACAACACATACCTCAGTCTTATCTCTCACAGTTTGTTTTGTTGATACCTCTGTTAAGGTTTTGTTCCTCTTGGACACTGCTTTGCTATACAGCATTTATATCATGGATAAGCTAAACCTGGATTTAGGTTTTTAGGAATCTAGTGGGCTTAGGATGCCTCTGTTAACTGTCAGCTATAAAGAGCAAATTAATTACTAGATAGTTATCAAGGGCAGGGGTGGATTTAGGAGATCTGGGGCCCTAGGCAAAGACAGGCAGGGGGCCCTCTGAATTGAGAAAACCACATAAAACAGACCAATTATACAGGTGCAGACATTTTAATAGAATAGACATACATTATTTGTTCTATGTTTTGTCCCTCTCTTCTTTTCCCTTTTCTTGTTGTTTTTCTCTCTATGTTTTGTACTCAGCTGAGTTTTCATGCTGTCTCAAAAGGAATGAAAGATTTTTTCCAGTCTGTTCTCCATTTTTCATTCGTATGAAATAAAAGCGGCATGAATCATGACAGCAGACAAGAGAGAGGAGAGCAGGAGGCGGGGTAACGAATCTACTTGCTCTGGAGAACAGAGCTTTTATATGTTGTCGCCGAAGTCTCCACTTGCAGAAAAAAAGTCACTAGATTTGGCACTAGGCGCTTTTTTTTTTTTAAATAAAAGTGCTAGAGGGGTCTGAAAAGACGCTAAATATAATGACAAATGCGCTAAGTTGGATACAGAGCTCTTTGCACCGAATGTTTTCAAATGGTTTCCTGCTGTCTGTTTGGACCTTTCTTAACATGTTCAGCAATTTGTTTTTAATCAAAAACATAATTAATGTGCACAAATAAGGAATAGTTGTATTAACCATACATGTAAAAAGAGTTTTATGGGGCCCCCAGGAACTTGTGGCCCTAGGCAACTGCCTAGTATTGCCTAATGGTAAATCCCCCCCCCTGATCAGGGATGAGTTGTGTGTGTGTCCTGTGTGTGTTGTTTACGGGGATATAAATTCCTGGATGTTGTTGATCAGCTGTTTTCCCACCATGATGACCAGTAGTTCCTGAGCCAGTTCAATAAGACATCCACCCACTCCACACTGGAACACACAACACAGTGAAAAGAATGTCAATGTATTGTCTTCTTTTAAATTCATCATCTGGTACAAAAAAAAAAAAAAAAAAAAATCTACCTGCTGGAACTTTTTAAAATTTTATTCATTCATAGGGCAGAAGCTGATGTACTTTAAAATAACTGAACATGAAAATCTGTGGATCCAATATCTGTGATTTACTGTGCACCATAAAAGGTCTGATATGTTTAGGAAGCAAACTTAGACATCACTTTCTCAAAAGACACCCTCAAGCTCAATCTAAGCATCTCTAAGCATTTCTAGGCCTTTCATAAAGTTCTTGGTCAGGCTCGGATGTCTTTAGGGGTTTGGGATGTTTCAGGATTAACTCCAAACTGAGGGACCTAAGAGGTGTCCTGGTAAGATGAACCAAAAGTTGAGGCCCTTTCGTGTGGAGGAGCGGCAGCTTTTCTCCAAGCTCGCTCAATGATGCCATCTACTAAAGGCTTCACCTTTCAGCTCAAGTCTTTCCTCACATCACAAAAAAATAGCTGCACACTTCACACAAAGTTCTGAAGTATCTGTACGTCTCCTGCTTCATTATGTCATCAGTCAGGAAGAAGTTCATGAGGTGTTTAAACATTTTTCTTGTGACAAACTCAACCCCCGCCCTAACATTTAAATGGGACTTGTAAAATGTTTCCACTAATTGTGACAAAGCGAGAAACTCACATCTTCATTGCGAACTCCAAACAAAGTGTTGTAGTTTCCAGGGTAACCAACAAACCTAAAGAAACATGAACAAACAAGCTAATTAGAATAAAAACAAGCTCAACTGTTTGACAAACAAAGTGAAATGTGGTAAAACTCGCTTTAGAACTCACACCAACAGTGTGTGTGAATTCATACATTCACACTCTGGTAGTGGTAATAAAGCTGTAACCACAGCTGCCCTGGGGCAGACTGACAGAAGCAAACTGGCACACCCAACACAACAACTGAGCTGGATGAGCCGGGGCTTGAACAAGCAACCCAACAGGCCTGGGACTTCCCTATATATGTGTAAGAGGTCTCAGTGAGGAATTGTAAAGCCCTATCATGATTAGCAGAAGCCTCACCTGCCTTTGAAGAAAGCAATGTAAACTGGAGATGAGTAGAAGTTCACAAACTGGAAGATGAACACTTTGAGGATGAACATGTCTTCATATTTGGTTTGAGTGCGATGCATCTCTGATTAGGAAAGACAATGATGTAACAACAGTGTATGCATATGATGATGCGATGATTACACGAAACTGTAGCACACTTATGAAGACCAAACATCTACAAGCTGGCCAAAAGATGCAGCTAAACTTAAAGTTTCCTCTTCTCTTTTTCAGAGCTTCAAATTAGACAGATTAACCTTCAAATCTTTATAACATTGTATTAATATTTATATATCAATCTAAACAGAAATATATGATGCAAAGCTGACTTGTCAGGACCCATTGATTTGATCTGTGCACCGATTGTGAATTATTATCAACAGCTTTTACTCCTCTTTGATTTTTCCTGAAATCTTTACACTTTCAAAATGCTGGATTATTGCTGCAAAAAAAAAAACTGTTGTTAAACTCTTTTACAACTGAGCGTGACATGAGAACAAAGACTCACCCCAACGTGTGAGAATGTGCGCCAACGTGATGTATACTCTTGACAACAGGAGGATAACAATCAGGTTTAAGACTGATCCTGAGAGGCTGGCTATCCTCCCAGCCTGAGAGCAGAAATCAGTTAAAGCTTAGACACCTGCACAGGATCAGAACATCAGGACCAGGCCCTGTGTCCTTCGGGGCAGCATCCTTCAGAGTCACAGGTAGAGCAGATTCTCAGAATATCTGGGCATTTGAGTTTTGTTGTACTCACGGAGAAGCTGAAGAAGCTGTCAGCTGTAGCTGACTTGTAGATGATGATAGTGAGTATCGTACGGTAAATAATAATAGCAATGAGAAACATCAAAACCACAGAAACCTGCAGAGATGAAAGTTAACTTCAAGCTCTTATCCGGAAGTCTGTTTGGTTTTTAATTTATATATTAAAAATCAATACAACTGAAGACTTGCCATGATGATAATGACCATGCATCCAGTCACAGTTCTGTTAAACCGTTTTTTCTCTGGAAAGTAAGGTTCCTCAGCACCAGTGACCGGGTTTCTCATGGTCATCGGAGCCATGGCAGTGAATTCTGGGCGGGGACGTTCCTGTTAAGGAGAAGAAAACTCCAACAGGAGCTCCCAGAAAGTGATTGTATTTTAGAAAGAGGCATCATGACAACTCACCTCAATATCCTGGAAATCAGAGCAGTCCCAGCGATGAGATAGAGCGGCACATGTTCTCTTCCAGTACTCCAGGAAGGTGACAGCCCACAAAGACATAAAGACGCTGAAAAACACTGTTCCTCCATTGTCAAACAGGAGACCCGCCTGCAGAAAGATAAAAGACATGAAAGGAACGGCTATGGCATGGAGAGCCAATGGAAAAACAGCGGAGATTAGATTTCTGGTGCATTGGCAGTTCTTTGTTTCATCTTAAATAACTCAAAAGTTGAATTTACTTTACACATAGTTTTGTTCTATGTGTCATTTTCCATATTGCACTTCCATTTCCATTTTTCCTTCTTTAAGTAGAACCTAATTTAGGTTTAATAACTAGAATCTTTCATGGTACATGAAGTAATTTTGCCTCAAAGATATGTACGCATGAGACACTGGGTCTACCTGTCTCCAGTGAGATCAATAAAGGTCAGTTATATATAATTATATAAAAAATAACCTAAAATGACTGGAACCTGAGGTGAATCATTGATTATGACAGGAATCTCTTCAACGTGGTTGCCAACCAAAACCAACTCCACTGGTTCAGTGATGAGAGAGGAATATTTGAGATGATGACCATCCATGGCTAACACCTTATGAGAGACCGTTGAAGGAAGGAGCTTAATTGTCTGGCCAGGTCCCCATCCATAAACTCAGTATCTGCTCCAGAGTCCACAAAAGCTGACAGGCTATGACTAAATGAATCAACAGACAGATTCACAGGTAGAGGGAATTGAGGGGAAACAGATCGTCTGGCCTGGCCCAGCAGGATCCCCCCTTCTCCTACTGAGGCTGCCCTTTTACTGGACACGATCTCACCCAATGTACCTCTCCACCACAGTAAAGACACAGCTTTAGCTTGGAGGGTTGATCCCTCTCCTCCCTGGAAAGGTTGGTGTGTCCCAGCTGCCTCGGTTCTGGACCAGAACATAGAGGTGAGTCCAACGCCACCACATTAGACACAGATGCAGAAGAGGTTGAGCGATGTTCAGCTGATACAAGGGTTCTCTGCTCTCTGCCCCATCGAGGAGACGAAGATCAATCCAAGTTGCTAACTACTCCAGCTACTTAAGAGAAGACCAAACAGAGTCCCGGGTGGAGAGTTCATCCTAGCTCTTCTCACTGAGTCCCGTGATGAACATGTCCTTGTTCTAGGGGCTCTTGGCTGCCATCAGGTGGAAGTCGATTATATTATCTGAGACAGAGTGATCTCCCTGCCTTAAAGGCAGGAGACCTGTAGAAGGTGCTGGGGATAAACCTCTAGAAGGTGCTGAGGAGAACTGGGCAGAAAACTCAAATTATTCCTGTGAGAAGGCTTGGTGAGAGCCACACAGACGGGAATTATTCTGCCACTTCCACGTTCGCCACAGCTTTGTCTTGCCTGCTACCTACAGCGAGATTACAAATGCTACCCTAGCTGGATCAGAAGGAAATGAGGAGGCCTGTAACTCAAAGTAGATCTCACCCTACAAGTTGGAGTCCTTGAAACTCCAGACTTCCTGGGTACACCTTTCAGAGGATAAGTCAGTGTGCAGTGAGTCTCCTTTAGGTCAAAACGTTACATTTTTCATAATCACACAGAATATTAACCGATAATTAGTGTTGCAGCGATACCGATACCAGTATCGGGTGGGGCCCCGATATTGCTCTAAAATGGTGGTATCTGTATCGGCGAGTACTGACAAATAGGGCACAGATATCATTTTGAGAGCCAAAAGTTTATTCAACTATCTTTTTCCTGCTTCACAAAGGTAGGCAGCAGCTTGACAAAGCCATGATGGCAATTATTTTTCATCCAAGTAATATGCAGTTCTTCATATATACACACACATCGGTTTCAAACAGATGGTATCGTATTGGTATCGGTACCAGCCAATACTGCACAGCCAGGGATCGGCTATCGGTATCGGGGCCAAAAAATGGCATCGGCACAACACTACGGCAAATATGGCAATTATTTCACATCCAAGTAGTATGCAGTTCTTCATATATACACACACACATCAATTTGAAACATATGGTATCGGTATGACATGGTATGGTATCAGTATCGGCCAATACTGCTCAGCCAGGTATTGGGTATCAGTATCAGGGCCAAAAAATGGCATTGGCGCAACACTATCAACAATTCCCAGAGATAAACTGAGTCTAATCAGGTGATTAGAGGAAATGATCAGGTTAAGTTGAGTCCTGCTCGCTATCTCAGAACCAGATTCTGCAAAACACACCTTCTGCAAGAATTTTCTCTGACTGTAGAGGAATGATTTGGACGTAGCAGAAACTGGAACCCTGGAGCATTCAAAAGAATAAAAGGCCTCCTAGCCAGCATCCAACAAAGCCTAGGTTAATCTTTCCTGAACTTTGGACATGCTTCAGCTTTCCAAAACGGAGATCAATAGAGATTGAAGGTCTGGCAAAGATAGGGAAAGAGTTTCCAGCTAAACACTTTGGATTTTATTGATTTCTGATCAATAATGGGTTTATTGTTGTGTAAACCAGGCTATCAAGAAGATAATGGAGAACAAATGGCAACCAATGCCGATATCTTTTGAGCTGTTGTTTATAAAGCTAAACAAACTTTATTTCACTAAGGGGTTAAACATTAATATAACATTCAAGTTTATTTCTTTTATGATATGGTCATTGCATTTAATTCCTAAAGTATGACAGATGAGTCCCCTTGTGTCTGCTAACTATGAGCTAACTAGTCATTGATAACAGAACCTAGCTAAAAAAGCTAAAACAGCTACCATAACCCTTGATCAATTCCTTTAGGAACAATAAAAGGAGTTTAAGAATCAATTATGTACATGGTTATTAAAGTTTGATTAAGGCAAATCTCTAATTGTGGCAATATATACAACAGAGGGTCCGGACTCTTGAGTGTGCTCACCAGTCAGCCTAAGTAGCCAGGGCGCATCATTAGTTAGAGAGACAGGACCCCACACTGTCACATAATAAACATTACCAAACAATGATTTATTTATTTACATTTGGATTTGCATTGTGTTTGAACAGATTCCAAAGTTTCAAAGCTAACCTAAGCTTATTTTAAACTTTTAAAAATAAACTTTGGTTCTCTAATATCAAACCAAATCTCTAAATGTGATATCTTTGCATTATTGTTTTTAACCATTTTCCTTTATATTCCTACACAGTACACAGTAGCTTAAAGGAATTACAGTAGTTTAGCCTAAGGTTTTTAACAGAACTATGTTTTACTGAATAATTCGAATAATTGTTGTTAATATATCTTTATATTTGAATGGACATTTTTGTGAAGTTATTCAGTGCTCAGAGCCAACTGTTGGACCAAGATTTGAATGAAATTTTCATTTGTTCCCCTAACACACAGCGTCTTCGGTGTGTAGTCACAGAACAGCACATGACAGTCTGAAAGTTATTTGATAAATAGCAAAGTTACGACAGTATTTAATTGCACACCAGTTATTGCATATCATACTGTAGTCAACCATGACATTCCAATCAGCCCTTTAGACCAGATTAGGAAGTTCCGGCAAAGCTCAAGAGTTTCAGGGAAAGAGATGAATTAGCTGACAGTTACCTTATAGGTGTTGCAGATGCTGGAATAGTTCCAGGCAGAGCAGATGTTACAGAGAGGACACATGATGAAAGTGTCTCCGCTTTCACACACTTCCTTCCTACAGTAACATAGAACAACTTTAGAAACTTCTCAGATGTTTGTTTATCTGGTTTATCACCAAGCTGGTCTACAATCACACAAGTTTATTATCTGACAAGTTAAGCAGTACAGAAATTACTTCATAATTTGTTTAAAAACATACATTTTGTAAATGAATGTGAAGTTTGTTCTTACGCTGGGATGTCAGTGGCAACGAGCCATAAACCAACCAGGAATATAAGAGTCCCAATCAGAGACGCTGGTAGCAGCCAGCCAGTATAGAAACCTGTAGACACCGACTGAGTTAACACTGGATAGGGTTTAGGTGAGGTTTAAAGTCCTGAGTCATTGTTTTTATTACTATGCCTTCAGAGTAGAGCATTGGCTGAAATATTTTAAAGTGGTGCTGCTTTGTATTGAACACACATCAATGATTAGTACCTGGATTGAAAGCAGCAAAATCAGAGACTCTATGACATATCCCTGATGAACACCTCTTATTGCAAAGGCAGGTGGTGAAAGCCTACAATACCACTCAATACCTCCCAAAACTAAGAAGTATTATCTTAGACCACTTTAAAGGATTGTAGGAAAGTCTGGATTACAGGAAGAAAAAGGAGGAAGAGCTACACAGAGTTAAGGAACACAGCATTTACCAATCCATGCAAAATACAGAGCTATCTTCTCTCCAAAATACTCCCTTATGTGGTCCAGGGGTTGGTAGCGTCTCCAGCAGGACCACTTGGACCAGTATTGATGGAGGATTTGTCTCAGTCCTAAAGAGTGTTTGGGCACTGGTGGGTTGGGCAGCTGGAAATCCCCCTGCAAACAGTATTCACATTAATGTGAAACATAAACCACATAAACATACAAAAAATTCTGATTTCAGTTCACGGTTCAGACCTCATGCAGTGGGTATGCTGCAGTGAAGACCTGCTCACTGATCAGCCGGTCGATGCCCACCTCCCCCTTCTTCACACAACCATATGGAGTTCTGGCAAGGATCTCATACAGCTGCAGGGATACGTAGAGAATATTTTCTGTTAAAACACTGTTTCATCAAATGTTTTCAACTTTGAATGTGTTTTGTTCCATTCTGCTTTATCCACGACTGGTTTGTGGGAGCAGCAGTTTCAGCAGAGATTTCCCAGACTACAGTCAAGAAGCATTGGCGCCTCCAGAAATGTTTCATAGGGGTGGCCAGATGGGGCCACTAAAAATTTTGGGATGGCACGCTGAAACTGAAAGCCCTAATGTCAGGGTTTAAATCTACTATTGTTGTAAACCTGTCAGTTGAAATCATAAAGACTTAAGGAAACATCTTTTTATATCTTGGTTTACTGTGTGAGTTTTTAATGTTATGTCACTGAATGTGCATAATGGGATGAAATGCTAAACTGATTGTACTAAAATTTACACTGGCAATTGGGGTGGCCAGTGGAGTGGCCAGTGGGGTGGCTCCACTGCCAAGAAGACATAGCCCCTGCAGAAGGTCGTCCCCTAAGGCTCTCTCGGTGTGACGTTCCTGGAACACCTCTTGAGGGTGGCATCTAGCTGGCTTTTTATAAAGATCTCAGAGCCACCTCAGCTGGCTCCTCTAGATGTGGAGAAGAAGCAGCTTAATTTTGTGCCTTTTCCTGGATGACAGAGTTCCTAAGTTATTGCTAAGGGAGTGGCCAGGCACCCTGTGGAGAAAGCTAAATACAGTTGTTTGTATCTGTGTCCTTTTGACCATGAACCAGATTTCATAACCATTGGTGAGGGTGGGAATGTACACCGACTGGTAAATATAAAGCTTTGCCTTTTCTCTCATCTTTCTCTACAACACAAGAGGCTGCTACAGGCGCCATATGATATATCAGAATTGCTTTGAGGCCAACCGATATTCTTTCAACATGGCCTTTCATAGATCCTCTCAGGTCTGAGTTGCTGCCCCCTCCAGTGATGCTAAGAAGGCCTGGTACTCTGTACTGTAATATTAGAATGATATTGCAGTGTTAGGGCATATCATCCATCCATTTTCTTACACCCTTATCCCAATTGGGGTCACAAGGGGTGCTGGTGCCTATTTCCAGC